TAGTTGGTTACATAGCAGATGCTAAAAAATGATGCTCCTCTAATGGGTAGAGGGAATACTATTTTGTAACACAAAGATCGCTAGCTGGTCACGTACAGAATGCTTAGGCAAGGTTGCCAGCAGCTGGTCACACCAAGGATGCTCAATTACGGTCCATCTTTATGGGAGACATCCAAAGAGTTGTGCAACGTGCCTTCTCTATCTCTGAGGCCCAAGTCCCTACGGATCAAGCCAAAGGCCTAAAATTCTTCACTCTAGCTAAACCTTGAAAAAAACCATTGTAGCTGCTTCTAAGGATGTCGGTGTAAGCCATCGTGCTCTGGTTACACCAGGGCAGCCCGACCCATCCACGTCTGGATATTCGGAGTGCGTAGTATACCCTCTCCTAAGGGGAGAGCAAGGTTGGTCCCCGATAAGGGTGTAATTCCTGCGATAAGTCCCTGATTGGGTACGATCTTCAATGACAGCAAGAGTAAACAATTGTTATAGGTATGCAGTTAAGCCAAATAATGAAAGAAATCTTCATTGAAAAAAGAAAAGAAGGATATCGAACTTAGCTAGAAGGTAGAAACTGTGTAACAACTAGATAGTCATCCGCTTGCGAGGTAGTGTTCGTCGAGCTTATTGAGTCATCGAGCTTTATTTCTTCTGAGCAATGCTTGGGGAGAAGTGGGAGGTCATGTGTAGTACTTCCGCAGGTTGTAGGCATTCCACTGCTTGTCGATCTTTTTGTCGTTCATGGTGATGAGGGTATAATTACCATTGCCGCTTGCTCTGCTGACCTTGTACAAACCTTCCCATATTGGATTCATCTTTTTAGAGCCTTCTCTTCGTGCAATGATGAATGTTTTTCTTAAGACTAGATCTCCAAGCTGAAATTACTGGATCTTTGCCCTTTTGTTGTAGCTGAAGAGAAGCTGCTGCTGGTAGGCTACAATGCGGGTGATGACCCTTTCGCGTTCCTCCTTCATCAGATCTAGATTTGTGGCCATCTCTTTGCTGTTATGCTCCAAAGTTGGCAGTATGGTGCTAATGCTCAACACGATGACATTAGGAAAGATGATTACTTTTGAACCAAATGCCAAAGAGAAAGGAGTTTCACTGGTTGGTGGTTTCTCGCTGTTTAGTTGTGCGATACTCCCATAAGACACCGAGAAGTTCGTTTGGCCACTTCCTTTGCTTGTCTATGAGGGATTTCTTGAGGTAATCTAGGATTATCCTGTTGGATTCCTTTGTCTGCCTGTTGCCTTGGGGATATAAAGGCATAGACATATGCTACTTGATGTCGTATTTCTGGAAGAACCTCGCCAAGTCTTTGTTCATAAATTACGGGCCGTTGACGATGATGATAAATTGTGGAATTACGAATCGACAAATGATGTTCGTCCATATGAAGCACTCTATGTCTGATTGAGTAATGGTGGCCATGGGCTCGGCTTCTACCCATTTGGTGAAATAGTTGGTAGCCACGATCATCATGCCCTTACCCCCAGTAGCGGGCAACATAGGTCCTTTTAGGTCAATTGCCCACTACATGAAGGGTCATGGGCTTGTTTACGGATGGAGCTCGCTGGTAGACAGTGCAGGTACAGGCTTGAAAGGTTGGCAGCTTTCATACTTTTGAACAAAATTCTTAGCATCTTGATATATGGTGGGCCAGTAGTAGCCGACGTTGAAGACTTTATGTGCTAAAGATCGACCCCCTGAGTGGTCTCCACAAATTCCTTCTTCGATCGAGCTCAGAACTTTCAAGTCATCGAAAGGCGCTAGGCAGCGAAGATGTGGGCCTGAAAATGATCTTTAGACGAGAATGTTGTCCCACAAGTAGTAGTGTGCCACCCCTCGATGATGGGGTTTTGCCATCTTGGGGTTGTATTGACTTGTAACAGCTCGAGTGCTGGTTCTTCTTCTATGCTCAGCATTCCTAAATACTCGATCGGGATGAAGCGTTTGAACTGGTTGTCCAAAGCGGAGCCTAAGGCTACCAGGGCGTCTGCATGAGCGCTGTCTGTCCGTGGCACCTATGTGAGGGTGCAAGTCTGAAATGCCTCAAGTTGCTTTTGTACCTTCTCGAGGTATAATGCCATCTTTGAATGCTTTGCTGCATACTCCTAGTAGTTTATGAGCTGAGAATCGTAATGGATTGCGAGCTTCTTGACTGCCAGATCTTATGCCATTCGGAAGCCTACCAATAAGGCCTCATACTTTGCTTCGTTGTTTGATGCCATGAAGCCTAGAGTGATTGCTTGTTAAAAAATTGAGTCGTCTAGGGTGACTAGAACCAAGCCTACTTCGGAACCTTCGTAGTTGGATGAACCGCTGACGTACAGGTGCCAAAAGTTCTTGTCGACAAAGATTGGTCCGGCCAGGGTGTGCTTGGTTACCTCAGAAGTGTATTTGGGCTGTGTTGTTGTGTCTGCTAGGCCAAGGGTGAACTCTGCTATGAAATCTGCCAAGACATGTGCTTTTATCGCCGTGCTAGGTTGGAAAATCAAGCCGTATTGGCTGAATTCCGAAGCCCACTTTATCACTAGTGGAGAAGTGTCTAGAGAGTGACCATGCAAATATATCATGATTTTCCCTAAGGAATGTCGTGAGTTCTTGATGACCTTGAAAAAGGGCTTGCATGGATCGGTTGAGCGCAGCTGCTCGTCTGGTCAGACTTTGGATTTCCTTCAAAGTGATGGGGTACTTCATCTCCAAGATTGCTTTGATCTACTTGGGATGTGCCTCGATTCCTTGCTAGGTTATAAGGTACCCTAGGAATCGGCCTGAGGAGACTTCAAATATACATTTGGTAGGGTTAAGCTTCATCTTGTATTCCATAAGAATACTGAATGTCTCTACCAAATTTCTAAGGTGGTATGACTATTGCTTTCCTTTTACCATGAAGTGATCGACATAAACCTCCATGGTAACCCCAATCTACTTTTTGAACATCATGTTTACTAATCTTTGATAGGTAGCTTCTGCATTCTTGAGGCCAAAAGGCATAACCTTGAAGCAGTAGGTGCCTTGCTCAATCACAAACGCGGTTTTCTTTTTGTCGGGCTCAAACATGGCGATTTGATCGTAGCCAAAATATGCGTCCAAGAAGCTGAGCAGTTGGTTCCCGCCTGTTGAGTCTACTAATAAGTCAATTCCGAGGACAAAGAACAGATCTTTTGGGTAAGCCTTGTAAGGTCGATGCAGTCTACACATACTCTCAACTTGCCCTTCTCTTTCTTTATTACCAGCATGACATTGGCTAGCCATGTTGAGTGCGCCACTTCCTCGATGAACCCATCTTCCAATAGCTTGTCTATCTTTGCCTCAATGATCGCTACTCGTTTTGGAGCTAAATGTCTTCTCTTCTAGATCACCGGTTTGGCAGTGGGGTCGACATATAGCTTGTGGAAGGCTATCTTGGGATCAATGTCGGGCATGTTGGAGAGTAACCATGCAAACACGTCATGATTTTCCCCAAGGAATGTTGTGAGTTCTTCTTTTTCCTTCTGGCTCAGCAATGAGCCGATTCTAGAAGTCTTCTCCGGCTACTCAGGATAAAAAATGATGTATTCGACGTCTTCCTCTGGCTTCCATCTTTTTTCTTCTATCTGTATGTCCTCCTAAACGCCATCATCTTGATCCACCTGCTGTAGTTACTATTTGGTAGCAGGCTCGTCCTTCTCAACCTCTATAGCTCCTACTCAGGTGAAGGACTTTTTCTTTAACTTATTCAGCATTTGCACGGTGCATCATCGGGATGCAGCCTGGTTAAACTTGATCTCTTCGGCTCCTCCTCCCAGGATGAAAAATTGGATTTTCTGGTACTTAACAGAGGTTACGACGCCCAATTTCAATAGTTATGACTTTTCTAGAATCCCGTTATAAGAAGACGGGTCGTTGACTATAATGAACGTTTGCTTTGAGACTACTGATGGTGTTCTCACATCGAGTGTTATGTTGCCAATACCAGTTGAGGTGTATCTGATGAATCCGATGAGTACCTCTGCTCGACGTATTATCGTGCATTCCTGGCCCATCTTCTGGATGACAGATAGCTGAAGTAGATTTACTGTGCTGCCATTGTCCACCATCACTCTGTCAACTATAGCGTATGCCAGTTGAATTGACGCTACCAGAGCATCATCATGTGGGAAGTCAACTCCTTCAGCATCCTGCTCGGTAAAACCAACGATCGGTCCAGGTTTGGCGTAGGCTGCCTAAACCTAGGAGATTGTTATAGCCTACCAGATCTTCTTCTTCTTGGAGTTATTTGTGGCCCCCAAGTATTCAAACTCGGTGAAGATGCCATTGATTTTGATGGTCTTGGTAGGCGTCTTATCGTCTGCGTATGCGTTTCTCTTAGGCTGCGTAGCTGGTTTGTACAATTATCTGTTGCATTTACCCTTATTCATCAGCTTATCGTCTTTTGGTATAGTACGCTCAACCTGCACCAAAGTATATAGCTCAAAAGCAACGAAAGGAGAAAACTCAATAACCATATTAGTTTTAGGGTCTGAAATCTACCTATAATTAAGAGTAAGGGATATACATATGGGAGTTTATATGCAAAATTACCTTGATTTCCCTAAATGGTATAAGTAAACTTTTCTCAAGCTTGGAGTCCAATCCCAAAAGCCGAGCAGCAAACTTAAAGTTTCTGTTCGTTGCCACTAATGCATTCATCTTTGCTCCTTTTTTAAGTGTCTGCCTCAGAAGCTAAAACCAGCTACTTATCACCTCCAATCTCGGATTCTGCAAAAAAACAAACCACATGCATGAGGATTTATACAGTTCTTCGCTTTACCTAAGGTTACTGGACCAGAAATAAAAAACGAAATCAGAGTGCTTTACTTTGTGAGGTTTGATTTGTAGAGGACTGGAGCTGGGTTTGGTTTTGGCTTGAGGCAGTGGGAGAGGAATCGAAGGGGCAATAATCTGAAATTACAGTTCTAGAAATCAAAATATATTACGGGAAATAACAAATAATTTATGAAGCAGAGCAGAGGTGGGATTTACCTCAATGCTATGTAGAGGGTTTAGAGGATGTCTTCCTCGTAGTGGTCCGTGAGACCAATTTGATAAGAAGTACTCTGAATCTCGTCAAACCCAGACGAACTTATATCAAACGTGTGCAGCAAAGCAAGAATAGTTTGAATTGATAAAAGATCTGTCTGTGTGAAAAAAATGAAATAACATATGGGAAGCATTAGCTTGAAAACGGATAAAAGGGACATACATATATATACTTGTTCCTCAACTTCATCTGATAGGCAAAGTTCATCAGGCGAACCTTCTAAAGCCTGACCGAGTCTTTCATGAACCACATGAAATCTAACCATGATTGCCTCGCTTTCAAGTGCCTAAATTACGGCAACAACAAATAAATTAATAATTCACGGTTCCGAATTTGAACATCTATTAATTTTCAAAGGGAAAAGGCCTAACCAGATAAATTTTGCTCCCTGGACAAAACATCCACAACCCCACGTTTAAAAGGATCAAAAACCCTCCACAAATCAGATACCAGAAATAAGATCCCTTAAAATACGAAAAATTTTGGGATCAAAACACAACAATATTGAAGAAAAACAAACAATTCGAGAAAAACAGTGAGAATAAGGCACGAATCAGAGAAAGAAGTGAGATTTAATTACCTCTTGAAGGAATCGAAGGGATCACGAAGCAGAGATGGATGAGATTGATGCAGATTGTAGGACGCATGATCGAAGTCGCCAACCCGTTACAGAGCAGCTGAGAATGTTTTAGGTTTCTAACGTTTTAGGAAGACCCAAAGAATACACACACATATGCTTTCCGCTCTGTATCTTTCTCCCTGTCCATCTCTCTCTAAAATGGGAGAAAATCTCATAGATCCTGTCAGAGCACCTACCTAAATATCTCTCTCACTCAATCCAAACCCGTAGCTCCCATATCTCTCTAATTTGTCAAGCCCTGTGCCTCCCTCCTCTGTAGTCGTTCTGTCCCCCTCTCTCCGCTCGCCACAGGCACACGCAGCTGTCTCCGAGTCAAAAATGGGAGCGATCGTCTCTCTCCAATTTGTTAGCCGTGATGTCCCCTTCCTCTCTCTCGCCGAGTCAAAGCTGAAATGCAGCGAACGGTTGAAAATTGGTCCTTAAGCCTGAGTGGCAATTTTGTAAATTAAGAGAACGTTGGTTAAAGCATCTGAGTGGCAATCTTGTAAATAAACTGAAATGTCATCCAAAACACTGTTCATTTCTACCGTGCGATTTCGCCTCCTTCTTTAGACTAAAGTAATTTAGGAAGAGATGGCAACACAACCAAAGGTAATAATTAATCAATAAAATCTGTGCATTACAGGAGCAATTCGTTTACATATTTACACTATATACTTCATTATGTAAGGATTGCAAAAATAACATGGGATTGCAAGCAATGTTGTATATAAAGATATTTTGCTTCCATCTAATTTGTGGATGCAATTTTTTGAAATTTTAGTACTTTATGTGACATGATGATCTCGTTCCTTCTGTATTTGTAATTTATCTTATGAATGTAATTTTGTTTCATTTTGGATTGATGTATCAAGACATAACATCATTTGGTCATGTCATCATCAAAAACTTTGTCTCATGTCATAAATTTAACATTAACACCTTTTTTGTTTACTCATTAATTTAACATATAAAAAAATTCTTGATAAAAGGAAAAAAAAAATTCTTTTGCACGCGTAAGAGCTAGTGGGGATAAAAACCCATTAATTGAAAAGACATTGTTTGTACTTTGGTTTTTACTCTAAACGGCTAGGTTTTTTTTATTTTTATTTTTATTTTATTTTTTGGTGTTGGAAATGGAATGTCAATTAATTAAATTTGAAAATAGGAATAAGCTCTATTCCATATGAAATCTCATATGTCAAATTTGAATACGAAAAAAGCTCATGTCAAATAATTTTTTAATTATTTTATTATGTAAGTTCCGCACAAATTATAAATCTTGAAAATTTATTTTAATTGATTATTTTGAAATAAGTCATACAAATATTATTTATAACAAAAAACCACATATGAGTTAGAAAATAGAAAATCTGACATTACGTCTAGGGATGGGCAACAGTTATGGAGGGCGGGTAACCGCGGTTATTTACTCATAACTGTTTATGCTCATACCCACATAATCGTTTACTCGTTGGGTAATTGCCTAAACGATTATACCCATACCCATAATTGTTTATAAACGGTTAATCATACTCATTTAATCGTAACCGTTTAATACCCATTTGCCATTTACCATTTTTAACCAGTTTATCTTCTTTTTTTTTTTTTTACCATTACCCCTTTTTCTCTTGTCATGTTTTTTAACAACTTGAAAATTTAAAAAAAATTGTTATAATTTTTTTTTTTTGACAATTAAACACCGTTATAGGTACATTTATCATACATTTCCGTATTTTAATTTTTTTAAGTCCTTATATCACTCCAATAATTGAAATAATAGTTTACAGACGATATTTTTAACTGTTACCAATGGAAGTAATATAATATTTGCTAAGTATTATTGGGTTACAAAAATTGTTTCAAAGACATTTCAGTCAATTTCACGGTTACCCATAAGGAATTTAAATTAATTTGGCGAATTTCTTGCGGATGAGAATCATCATTCCTGCAGCAATGTTAATAAGAGAATGACCAATGAATTCCTTGCTTATTTATTGGGTGCTAAGTATTATTGGACTGAGAACATGGTTTGTATTAATTTTACATATACTAGCATTTGCCTACACACTTTGTGTGTATGAGCATATTTTTTAAGGAAATGAGAAGGAGAGAGGGGAGGAGAGAAAACGTGGGGGGGGGGGGGGGGAGGGGGGAGGAGTGAGAGGATTTTGTTTTTGTTTTTGTTTGTTTTTTTTTTTTTTTTTATTTATTTTTTATAAATATTAAAGGTATTTTAACATCACACGTAGGTGAGGCTTCAATAAAAAAAAAGTAAATTTTGGACATATGAAATTACATTATTGCCCATCATTTTTTTTGTGTGATAGAAGACTAAGCAGTCTTTTCACCCTCTTTTGGTTAACAAAGATGGTTTTATTAATTAATAGAGATAAAATAAATGGGTAAACAGTTACCTACTTATAACCACGGTTAATACCCATAACCACTCATTTAAATTTCACATGTAAACCGTTATACCCATAACCATAACCGTGAAGTCTAAATGGACGGATAACCGCGGTTACTCATAACCGCGAGTATTTTGCCTATCTCTAATTACATCACATTTGACATTTTCATTAGAAATGCTCTTAGACCATCTCCAAATGAGATATCAAATTTTGAACATAAAATTTAAATTTTGACAGCTTATGTGGTACTTTGACATCTTTTAAAAGTTTTTTCTCCAACTGATATGTCAAACTAAATTATTATTTTATAAAATAAATTATTAAACTAATTAAAATTTAATAAATGACATTTAAAGTTTAATCAGTAATCTGTTCACCTTCTTTAATTAAAAAGAAGAAAAAAGTAAGATAATTACATAGGTCAACTTAACATTAATTATAATAAATGATTAAATTAATTAAAGATTAATAAAATACATTTAACAATTAATAAAGAAAAACATTTGAAGCTGCTGTCAAATGTGACAGCAACCTCTTTTGCTGCCAATCCATGTCATCACCACATAGAATTTGATATTTCGGTTGGAGAAGATTTGTGTGATCTTTTTTCTACTGTTATAGCTGATGTGTACATTTTAGCATCTATTTCAAAGCAACGGTTGCGTAGCCAAAAAGTCATGCTAAACCGCGTAATTAAAATGCGATTAAAAGTACACCCCACTAACAAAACCGCGTCATCATCTTCCACTTTCCTTCCAACTGCATCGATTGCTGAGAAAACTCTCTTGGCGACCAACCCAGAAAAACCAAGAAATTCAAATTCCCAGTGGAAGAACAACGCATAAGTTTCTCTCGCCCGTTGGCTCCAATCACAGAATCTGAGATGAAAAAGCAGCTTTCTGGTTTATGATCGAGAACTGAAAGAGTCTGAGAAAGATCGATCGTATTTATGTACAGAAATTTCATGGATTCCCAGCGAAAGGTTTGAAAATCTCACTTTTCATGGAATTCAATTTCCGTTCGGTGATCTCTGATTGTTATCGAATAATATGAATCTTTTTATGGTTAGGGTTTTCCCAATTGCACTGTGATTGGATTTGTGTTGCTAGGGTTAGGGTTTTCGAGCTCTTACTATCATATTTATTCAATTGTATGAAATAGAAATTTGAGGGTTTTGAGCTGTGAATCTCAAAATGCATTCTCGGAAGCATGAGAATTTCAATAAGCAATCCCCAGCTTCTAGATTACATGCGGTTGCTCCCGACCCGTATAGTAATAGTAGTAGGAGGAGTAATATGCAACTCGAGGCTGCTGATCAGTCTAGTGGGAGGAGTTTAAGCCCTCGCGGATTGCCAGGGGATGTGGGTTTGAGTCAAAGGACTGATTCTATTGAAAGGAGTGACCATGGTTGGCATTTGGGTGGTAGAAGGACTGATCGGGTGAGGCGGAGATCAAGGTCAACTTCACCACCTCTGCCTTTTGGCGGCATGCAGAAAAGGCCACATTTTGATGAAGGAGTTGGGGTTATGCATAGGAATTATTCGTCACCTCCACTTGCACCTGTTTCTTCGGAGTTACAACACAGACCTGAACTTGTAGAGCCTGCAAAATATAGAGTGAATGATGATTCAAATAGTAGACGAGTTTACGGGTCGGAGAACAATGATTCTAGAATCAGCAATGAGGAATTGAATGAAAGCAGATTGTCGGTTGGCGTTACACATGGGACATTGAGTCAGAAATCAATGCATGTGGAAGATGGTGCGGTAAGAGGATTAAAATCCACACTTATGCAAGATAATACAGCACTAGGAACATATTGGCCACCTCCAGACCTGCATCCTGTGATAGCTCCTGCAAAAGATTGTGAACACCTACCATCATCATCACGGAGTATGAATTTACCCCATTTTGAGCATGGACGGCCTCAGTATACGGATCCTGTTGCTTTGGATAGATTACCAGTGACAGAATCCTACAAAGGAGAGAAACCCATTCTTACTTCAAGGGATGGTTTGTACCCCATGGTGTCAGGTGCTCATTATACGGATTTTCATCCTAGCTCCTCCACAGATGTAAGGAGTGAATTTCAGGATTCTTATAGGGGTGATCCACTCTTACCTTCTATGGATGAATTTTCAAGTAGCAGACGGTTCATTAATGCATATAGACAAAGGCCACCAGCAGATTATCCTAGAGATCCTGATTCTGGCAAGGGGAACCTGGCATTTTACCAGAGTTATAGTCCTAACAGAGGTGAGCATGCAGATTTTTTTTACCGCAAATCAAGGGCAATGCCAGTTGATGATCGCAGATATCCATCTGATGACTCACATAAAATGATGCCTCCACGACCACAACTTGACTATGATAGTACTCAAATGGTTTATAACCATCGAAATTTGTCAAGACCTAGTATTATGAACCCTGTTATGGATAGAATGGGTGATACTGAGGAATTTTCTGGAAATTCAAGAAAGGGCATTATGCTGAATAATCCTACTTTGCAGAGGCAACCTTTATTAGACTACCCTGATTCAA